ATCTCCCCCTGCACGACTTCACCCTTTGGACCAGCACCATTTCGGGTTCCTCGTCTTGCCCGATCTCTCCATTATTTATCTCGCTACGTGCGCATTCCTTCTACATTGTTTCGAAGCAGAGTTTGGGAGCTTGTTGCGCGTCGTCTTTCCCAGATTGCTCTGTTGTTTCCTCGGACGGGCTCGGGATCGAATTTCGCAATTCGTTGGCCTTGCGCGTTGTTTCGTTTTGGGTTTTCTGGATTTGTGGTTTTGTTTCTTTTTGGGATTGCGTTTTTGGGTGGAGTGGACGAGTTTTGAAGTCGCAGCGGTTTTGTTGGTGGTGAGAGGATCCTTCTCGAGTCGTAGGTGCTGGTTTTTTTGTGGGCGAGTGCTGTGGGTTTGAATTGGAAATTTTAGGTGGGGCCGTTGTAGTGTGGGTTCTGTAGTTTCAGTCTCTGGAGATCCGGGTCGAGCTGTTTTGATTGCGGGAGGCTAATTACCCAAGGTCGACAAGATGGGTTTGGATGAGGTAAATCATACTTAGTGGTGTGTTTAGGCTAATCCTCCGACTGAGTCGTGTTTCACAAGTCTGTGAATGACTACAGAGGATCTGGCCCAGACATGCCGTCTGCTTGGGAAGCAGCTTCAAGGATATATAATTTTGGGAGTAGATTTTTCTTATGAGTTGAAATCATTGTTACAACTATTTATGTTATTTTTATGGTTATGGAAGTTTCTTTCTCCATCCATCCTTACCAAGCTTGGAATTGGTTCATATTACAGACGTTTAATTATAGGAAATCGTCACAAGTAGTATCAACTCACGACATGGCGGTGCCATCATATCAGGTAATCCAGGTTTTCATGTGCGTTCCTTGCAATGTAATGGTTAGTAGTCACATGCCGTAAAGGTGGTTTAGTCTCCAAAGCGTGTTTCGTGAAGTCCTTGTTGCAGCGGTTGATCGCATCACCTTATTAGCGACAGTACTACCTGCACGTGCTTTGAATGAAGCGGTTTCGTTTTCTCATTCCGCGTTTGGCCATCGCAGCTCGACATGATAATCAGAGCAAATGTCCAGAACATAGGAGGGAAAACCTCGAAGTTGGTTTCTTACATGCGGGGTAAACTAGGTACGTCGTACTTCCTCATTCCCCAAAACTAAGCATGTCAGAGTCGTTTTTACCCACTCTGAACATCCTTTGTCCGAGTCGGTACCACGGAATCCTGCTTGAACATTCCTCTCCTGTGACCTGTATATTCTTTTTGCGATCATTGCCTGCACAGAAAATCGATCTTGTGGGCTCCCGAACTTTTTCACGATGCCCTTCTTTGACTGCTAATGACATGTGTTTTTTCATTGATCTGACGTGCAGGATACGACAAATGCATAGTTGACCAAGAGAATGACACCATCAGCATCCACTCTATCAATGGCCTCGATCCTGGTCGCATTCTGAAGTACATTCGCAGAAATGTTGACCCTCATGCTTCGGAGATTGTGCAGACTTGAGGGAATGGATGAAACCTGGTAGTCAGATCGTGTATATATGTGTACAGAAATACCTCACGAGGAAACGTACGAGGAAACCATCTCAAGAATTGGGTGGAGTTGTAGATAAGCGGTTCTGTTCAACTGCGGAGTGGGGTTGTAGATAGTGCATTATCAAATAACCTCTGGGATTTTTGATGTAGCAAATTCATGGCCTGGAATCATTTTCTATGGCACCATTAGTGTATGTGCATTCATCACATTTGATATTGACTGCTGTGAACAAAGATTGATTTGAAAGATTTGTGATGGCGTTGCCTCAAGTGCGAGTTTCTGTGAAGTAGGCTGGCTCACTGACAATTGGCTCATTTGTGAAACGTGCTGCATCTAAACGAAGTTTTATCATGGTAGCACACCAAACATTGGGAATGGCTCCAA